AAAAAAATATTTTGCATGAAAATGCAAAAACCATGGAAGCTGAGTGGAGGAAGGGAGACTTCCTAGATGAGAGGGATTTGAAATAAGCCTTTCAAACACTGGTAGGAATCAGAGAGGAGCTACTCTTGAGGGCACTGAGATGGCCCAGAAAGCAAAGTTTCAGAGGTGCAAACACACAGGGCATGAACCTGGCTGGAAATACAGATTGAAACAAGAATGTTAAGGGATTAATGCCAGGAAGAGCTGCCACTAGGAGACAGTGACAGTGAGAAACTGAGTGACAACATCAAAGATGTTTGAAGAAGATTCTAAAGAAGTAGGAAACAGCTACCTTCCCTGATGCTAAAACTGCTGATTCTTTCTAAGAAATCCTGTAATTTGCTTTCTCTCCCTTACTGCTTTTGTGCGAAGGACCCCCCCAAACTTCTCCCTGACATTCTTTACAATAGTTTTAACCCAGAGGCTATGCTGCAGGAAGAAGATAATGGGCCAATAATCTCAGAAGAATGGACAGACCCTCTGCAGTTCCCCCATGATGTCAGAAAGATTCATGAGATTAAGGAAAATGTACCAATGTACCAGCACCCTGTAAAATGCCCTGATTGTTATCACCTTTTCTGTTCCACCCAGTTTTTTTCTATAAGAGGGACTCACAGTCTCTAAGGGATTAGCCTGTTATGACTCCCCTTTGCCTGGCGAAGCAATAAAGCTGTTCTTTTCTAATCCTCCCCAAACTCTGCCTCCAAGTTTCAATCCATCTTCGGAGTACAGAGGCCAGTTTTATGGCAACAATTTAATCTGAGTTTTTTGGGTTGTTTTTTAGCATATAATGAGGGACAGTGGAATTGGGGGCCAGCTACTCCATTAGGTGGTATTCATCCAGATGTTTGGTAAAGCCCCTGTTTAGGGTCAGAAAAAAAAAGAAAGGGAAAGGAAGGAGAAACTATAAATTGATCGAGGCGACCACTGACAAAACGATTGGCAAGTGATCAGCCAGATGGGAAAGAAAGAGAAGCAACAAGTTGACTGGTTTTGAGGCTAGACTATCAAAACAAAATTGATGCTTTGGGGTGGGTGGAAGAGCGGGAGGAAATACAAGATCAAGAGCTGATTTTTAGAGGGAATACAATGAGTTGGATTTGAGTCATTAAGTAATGCAAGACAAGAAAAATGTAGGTCTAGAGTTTGGTACACAATTCAAGACTAGAGATAAAGCTAAGTTATTTCTAGTATGGAAATGTTAGCTGACATTGGGGGAAGAGTTAACTCTCTGAGAAGGGGGAGAGTATAAAAAGAGAGATTAGAAAGGAAAGGTCTGAACTCTGAGGAATGCCCCCAGACTTGGAGAGCAGAGCTGGGGTAGGAGCCTAGAGAAGAAGGCAGAGAAGAAATGGTCCTAAGAGCCAAGGGAGGAAAACCCTGAGCAACAGAAGTGGTTGATAATAGAGGCGTCAGGAGAGTGAGAGCTGGGAACCAGCCCCGAGGGGTACTAGGAAGGCTGGAGGGCATTTAGATGATTGACCTGAATAACCTTTCAGATTCCTTTATCTATCCTGGAATTCTGTGAATTCATTTGAAGATTAGGGAAATACAACTTGAGGGAGCCCCACTGTAATGGAGCAGGGTGAGACATAAGGAAAACAGGCTGCAGCTGCCTCACTGCAGGGTAACCCAAATGTGCCACAGTTAAGGCATGTGCTGTATTTGGACATTGCCATGTGGAGTAAAAATGACATACAACACTCTATGGATCACTGTCTAATGCATCTTAAAGCAAGTCAACTCAGAAGCATGACCCCTACCTACTGTCCCAGAGGACATTTACACCTCCTTCTTCTCACATCAACCCCACGGCCCCCTGTAATATTAGGCAAACATCCCACAACTGGGGATTCACCTGCCATTTCATCAAATCAATTAATTCAACAACTCAACAAGCACTGAATGAGCAACTATGCACATTGTGAGGCACTGTGATAGGCACTTGGGATTCAAAGAACCTAAAAGATGTGGTCCTTGCCTACAAGGAGCTCCAGTTTAATGGAAAGGCACACAGACAGGAGAAATCTTGGGAGAAGATGCCTTGGAGAGTAACCCAGGAAGATTCTACTGATAATGAAAGTTCAGGTAATGAAGGCAAATAGACCAATTCCAAGTGGCAAGAGATATGGTTCATCTATTCATAGAATCTTAGGCTTAAAGAACTATCCAGGTCAATCAGCATTTGACCACTGAAACAACTGTCTGAGTACTTACTGCTCACACTAAGTATTTTACTGCGCATTTTGTCAATTTATGTCTATGACTCTCTTCCATAGAACCACAGAATTTCAGGGTTAGAAGATCTTATTTGTAGGTAATTTAATTCAAGCCTCATCTCCTCACTTCAATCCTTTCTCATATGAATTGTTCTCTCTTTTCTATTATGTGCACCTGAGTAGTGACCAATAAATAGCGATGGTTGCAGCTTTCTTTCATTTTGCTAACATTTCTTTCATCATTTTATGCAGAATAATAAGCCCTTTAGTAGGTCCAAATCATGCTTTCATTAAATAATGGTTGCCTATCTCATAAGTTAGTGCAATTAGAGTTTTTTAATTTTTAATTTTTAAAAAGCTTACTCCTAGAACATAGCTTGTAAACACAGGCTAGCCTGGAATGTTGACAGCCTGCCAAAGGGATAATCACAAACAGATGTTAGATGCAAAAAACTCAAAATTTTAAGTTCCATTAACCCTTCAAAATTCTAAGCTGAGAGACAATCTCAGGAAAAGCTAGGTTTTTTCAGTGCACATTTATTTTGTGCAAAAAAAAAAAAGCTCCCCTCATAAAACTGCTCAACAAGAATCATAAACATAGGGACAAGAGAAATCCTACTATTTTGAGGACAGGAAGAAATTTCCTTGTTTGTGCACCTGAGCACAATTTCTGAGGCAGTTTCTCTCACCTCCAATGATATTTAGAGAAAGTGTGCCCATACTCACCTGGCTGTGGCAGCCTCATCATAGTCTACAAAACCGACTCAAAGTACAAGAAAAATCTCAGCCCACTCAATACTCACGTCAGGACTTGGCACAGCTCCTCAGGCAAAGACGCGAAAGAAAATAAAACAACAAACAGTTGCTCTTTGTCAGATTCCCTCATAGAAGTCAACTAAATAAACAGCCAAAACAAAATAAAACAAAAACAAAAACGCATAGGTTGCTGCTTAGACCACTGCAACAAGCAGTAGCTTCCACCCAGGGTTCCTTCTAGCTGGCAGAGGGACATACGAGGATGGATAACAGAAAAATGTGGGGATAAGGTACATTAAGCAGGAGAAGAAGAAATGTCTTCTCCATACAGCTCAGGCTTCCTTGAAACTTGAGGACAATTCAAACCGAAACTGATTCTAAGGAACTGACTAAAGCCCAACCTACTGGGAAGTTTTGGTTTTACTTTCAGCATCACTTCTCTGCGTGCAGGTACCCCTTGAGCTGTGTGTGCGTTTAGGAGTAAGAGAAGGGGAGGGAAAGAAGGACAGCAGCATGTCCTAGCTATGCACCAAGAGCTTTATGCAGGTGTTGTTATTTGTTTTCTGGGGCTGCCAAAACAAACTACTACAAACTGGGTGGCTTAAAACAACACACACTGTACTTTCCAATTCTCTCAATTCTGGAAGCTAGAAGTCTTGAGATCAAGGTGTCACATGGTGTTACTCCTGCTGAAGGCTCTGGGGAAAAGTGCTTTCTTCCCTCTTCCTAGCTTCCGGTGGCTCCCATCAAGCTTTGGCATTCTTTGCAGATGCATCATTCCAATCTCTGCCTTTATCTTCACATGACCTTATTTCCTGGGCATATCTTTGTATGTCCTCTCCTCTTCTTATAAGACACCAGGCACTGGGTTAGTGCCCACCCTATTCAGGTATGACCTCATCTTAACTAATTACATCTGCAAACACCGTCCTTCCAAATAAGGGCACATTCTGAGGCTCCGTGTGGGCATGGAATTTGGGGGGAACACTATTCAACCGCTACAGTACTTCATTTCATTATTGGAGCAACTTGTGGTCTAGATACTGTAAGACCCCATATTACATATGACGAAACAGTTGACGTCAAGCATCCTTTCCTTAGTTGCATGTCTGAGTTTGAACTCAGGCCACTGACACCCCACTATACCATGAGACTTTTCAACAGTGAAACTAAAACGTGGTGGCAAGAAAAGGCCAATTTGCATGCAGTCGAGGATGATCAATCCCGTTCCTACCACGCCATTTCCCTGGGGCTCACACAAGTAGGGTCAGAAGAGACAGGGTAGGTTTTCTTCGCCACATTTTTCTAATATTCTCTAGTCTTCTTAACATGACTGGCCTCTTCTCTGCCTATTTTTCTTCTGAAAAAGCAGTGTTCTCCTTTCCTCCTTCTCGTTCTTTTTACTTTATCCCTCAAAGAAGAAGGAATGCAACTTGTAGTAGCTACAAATGAGAGTGGCTGCCTAGACCCCATGAATGGGGCTGCGTGGGGAACTGCTTTTCCACCCACAGCTCCAGGCATGTGGTTTCAATGACCTCTCTTCCCCAGTTACCATGATTGTCTTAGAAATGGGCATGTATCCCCTGTGAGGCTCTAGGAGTTTTCTATCAACAGGATCCACACATCACTCATCAGAGATCCTACCCCTCTTTAGGAGGGAGATACACTCCCCATTGTTTCTCTTCCTCTGCATCATATAGGCTCCCTCCCGGCTCTGTGTATGTCTTTCCAATCTTTTCTCTAGGCAGCTCAGTTATTCCACTACACACAGGCTTGGGAAAACAGACTTATCTCAGAGCAAGGGAAGGCCCAGCTGTTTTCACAATGGGGCCCAAATAAAACTCAAACTAATATCTCAGCACATTTTCCTGCCTCATAAATCTATATACCTCAAAAAAATACTGGAGGAGTAGACACCAAAGTGTTAACAGGGGCATTTCTGGCTGGACAACTTATATAGAAAGTGCCTGGTGCTATCTCCCTCCTCCACTCCAAGATAACAGAGCCACAAGCTCAGCCTATTCTGGGAGAAGGGGAGATTTGTGAAAAGGAGATATGATTGGAATTTCAAGTGGGACTGGATTCTGGCAGTTCCCCTAAAAGTTAAATACAGAGTAACTGTATGACCCAGCATTCCACTCCTAGGTATATACCCAATAGAAATGAAAATATGTGTCTACACAAGATATATACATGAAGATTCATAGTAGCCCATTGGAAAAGTGGGAAGAGCCCAACTGTCTAGCACCTAGTGAAAGGACAAACTGTGGTATATCCATACAATGGAATATAACTCAGCCTTAAAAAGGAATGAAATACTGACACACACTACAATATAGATGAACCTGGAAAACATCATGTTAAGTGAAAGAAGCACATATTATATAATTTCACTTATATGAAATGTCCATAACAGACAAATCCATAGAGACAGAAAATAATGATTGGTTGCCTAGGACTAGTTGTATAGGGGGAAGTAGACAGGTGATGATGGGTCAAGGACATGGGGTTTCATTTCAAGATGATGAAAATGTTTTTCAGTTGATTGTAGTGATTTCTGCACCACTCTATACATATACAAGAAATCACTGAATGGTACACTTTAAATGGGTGAACCGTATGTATGTACATTATATCTCAAAAAGCTGTTAGAAAACATGGGACTAGACTGAGTCATCATAACTGACCTACAAATTGTGAAACTGGGCTGGGATGTGATGAAGTCACTCTCTACCCGACAGTAGGATGTTTGACAGAATACTGTTGGCAACAATTATCAGAAAAATTAAACTTTTCAATGAACTGAGTCTCAATCAAATTGGTGACATAAGGATGGGCGGGGGCTGGAACTGGCAGCAACACGGTATCAGCATCAGCTGAGCTGCTTTACTAGCCCACTTCCCATGGTTCAGGGAGTTGTCTTTCCCTCTGGTTGTGTCTGCTTCTCTCTGAACATCTCATCTCTTCCCTTCTCACTTTCCTCCTTCTTTCCCTTCACCGCCAACCTCTTTTCTCTTCCTGCTGCTTCTCCTTTCTCAGCATTCCTGCTACCACAAAGCTGTATGTATGGACTCTAACAAATTACTGACCTCAGGCTCAAGTCTAACCATCTCAGTCTTGAGAATCTGAACAGCTGACTCAGCCTCTTGAAGCCACCAGCTACATCCTATGTCATGGACCAATCTATAGATGAACTGCTCTTGGGCTCAGTGAGCATTTGTAGGAGGTGGGTCACACAAAATGAAACCTGTCTTTCTAGGGTGGCCCTTTGAACAGAGGCAGAGGCAGGGACATTTCTCTCAGAAAGGGAACAGGTGCCCTGAAGCTTGACTAAAGAGAAAGTGGGGAGGAAGGTAGAAGCCTATGATGAGGGCATAAGCCTGGACATTGGGCCTGGGCTGGAGTTACAGTTCAGATACTTATAAGGGGTTTCACCATTTCAGCAGCTCTTCTGGCTAAGAGCACAAGGTCAGACATCTCGCTCATCCCCACCCACGGTAAAAGAGATCTTTGTGTCTTCTCAGGGCATAGTGATCCTCCTCTTCTCTGGAAACTTCCCTAGATCATAAAATTGGCCTCTGGCAGCCATATATGTACTAGGTCACCTTACCTTACCTCCTACCCACGTTGGTATCTGATCCCAAGCCTATCAGATTTCATTGTCCTGGGCATTTGAAGTAGATCTGAGAGCCAGCGACTTACTTCATGTGAAAAGAAGGAGATGCAGAATGTAACTGTGAAGGTCATATGTATGTGTGGGGGTGAGGGTGGGGCTAGGGGGGCAGACAGCATCTTCCACCGTGTGGCCCAGAAAGGCTCTTCAGAGAGAAACTAAAGAAAGAAGCAGATGAGAAAGAGAGACAGCCCTGACTAGAATCCTGGTCATCAGGCTCTTCTGCAGTCTGAGCTGTGGGCCCTGTGTCAGGTTTGTCTAGATACCTGTGTGGAATTATAATTTTTGCTCAAGTAAGTCTCAGACAGCTCTAATAACCCAAAGGAGAAGGATGACTGAGATTTACATACAACTGCAGGCTGACTAGGTCTGACCCTATTTTTAGGATGTTTGGTAGGAGAAGAACATGCATTCCAAAGTCTTTCCTTTTTCCTGGTCCTGGCTCATCTCTGGGAGGACAGAGGGAGGCAAGACTGTTGAACTCAGACATCTAGGCCTGCTGTAAGATGAACCTGGTTTTGTCCTAGCAACTCAGGAATGAAGGATCCCCAGAGTCCACCTAAAATTCTGCACCCAATTCCAGTGTATGTGTGTGTAGGAGGGTGGGTGGGGGTTCCACATCACCAACCAAGCAATTCTCACACACCAACTGAGTGTCCTACAATTCAACTCAGTTCTGACACTGCCTACAGGAGACAGCATCAGAACTCATAGGTTGAGGGCTACGTCCTTACAAGACCCCCCTACTTCAGACACCAGTTGCAAGCCCAGGCTGTCACCTGTGCTTCTGACTGACCAGCTACAGATTGAAGGTTCCCATGATCCCCTCATGAACTCAGGAAACCCTTTTACTCACTGCATTACCAATTTATTACAAAGGATATTAAAGGATATAAATCAACAGCCAGATGAAGAGATACGCAGGGCGAGGTCCCAAACCAAGGATCTTTTGTCCTCATGGAGTTTGGGCCCAGCACACTGGCATATGGAAGTGTTCTGTTCACCAGTCTGGAAGCTCTCTGAATCCTTTCTTTTTGGGTTTTTATGGAGGCTTCATGACATCGGCAATTGATTCAACCTTTAGCCCTTCTCCCCTCCCTGGAGGTCAGGGGGGTTGGACTGAAAGTTCCAATCCCCTAATCACAAAAATGGTTCTCCTGGCAACCACCCCCAGCTTTAGATGGGATCAAAAAGTCACCTCATTAACATAACAAGAGATACCTTTATAGCTCTCAGCTGTTAGGAAACTCCAAAGGTTTTAGGAACTCTGTGCCAGAAAAGGAGACAAAAGACCAAATACGTATTTCTTATTATAAATCACAATATCACACAACCATTTCACCCAGGAGCTTCCTAACCAGGGCTGATCAAGACTACATGTTCCCGGGGCTAAAAGAAGGGAATCTATTGCCTGAATCTTTTGACCTTAAGACCTAGGGGAGCAGATGCAGTGCTTGGATCAAGTGGAAGGGACATCTGAACTCAATACCAGGTAAAGGAAATCAGAGGTTCTCACTTTGGCTCTTTGGTTTCAATTCAGTTAAAAAAAAAAGTGAAATGATGATTCATCTCTTCAAATACAGTAAGGGGCAGCAGAAGACAGCTGACTCATACTTTGGCATCAGATCAGTGGTCCCAAATCTGGTTGCATAGCAGAATCCCCTGGGGAACTTCAAAAACATACAGATACCTGGGCACTACCCCAAACCTCCCGATTCAAAATCTCCAGGGGTGGG